TAGAGCATAATTGATTCAAAGTATCACGAAACATTTTAATATGAGAAACGTGTGCATATATTTTTGACTCATTAAAATTTTCTTTTGCTCTGAGTAATAGAATCTTATGTCAGTTGTTTCAGTTCTAAATGGGATGTCATGAAATTGTGATCCTATGGCCCCCAAAAGTAGCAAAATTTTTTTTCAGTATTTAATAAAGGATGACATATCTAGCAATGAATACGAAAATATGTTTAAAAGCTATTTTACAGTCTAGCTTTTTTTTTGAAGTATATCTAAGATTGCACTTTGCTCTGGAGTCAGCACAAGGGCAAGCAAAACACAAAGGGTATGAGGGCCACAGGCCTGTGTCGCCTCAAGTCATGGGGGCTTATTGCAAGTAGGAGCCGCCACGTGCACTGCATTCGAGCCTAGGTACCGGATCGGTTCGAACCAGCCTCCTGTTCAAGCTGTCACCCCCTTACTAGAAAATCCTCGGTCTTCTCTACCATGTAAAAAATACACATAGGGAATTTTTTTCTCTTTTTTGCATATCGACAACCCTTAAGCAGACCCTTAATAATCCTAACCTTGGTTTTCATTCCAAGATTTGAAATAAAAATAAAAATGAAAACTTAAAATTGAATATGAAGTAAACCAAGGAAAATATTTTTCAAAGTTACTTCATATATTCCTTTCTTTTGAAATAAGCTCATCTTCCCGATAAAAATATAAAGATGCTATAAAAGGAATCTCCTTAGAAATCTAGGGGAAATTTTTATTTTTATTAAATTTTGCAAACTGGATTTCTCTATTTCGTGATGGATACTGTATTTTCTATAAGTTCTAACAATTTATTTTTTTAAACTAAAATGATATGGTGTCAATCGAATTGTAACTTTCTTAGAACTTGTAGAATGAGATGTGTTTTGTTTGTGCAATGATTATTAAACTTTAAGTTCTTAATTTAGAAATGTTCCCTTGTGTCATTAGCAGTATCTCATAGGTCTAATATTCATTATGCAGTTGACCTTCATTAAAGCTATTTACAGTTTGTTCCAGATGGAGTAAGATTCTTCAAATAAGTCAATCTTTCATTAAAATACATTTTTGCTATAACTCGTTTTTTAAAAAAAGCTAAAGGAAGGTCAAGGAATTTCACATTTCCTACAAATAAGACAATGTAAAAGCTAATTATTTTTGTTTATTTGCCAAGTACTATGTGATTGTATTTAAACAAAAAATAGTTAGCGTTATTCATCAAATGAAGATTGTTATTTAATTAAACAAAAATATTCTGAGAACTTCTGAGTTGACCGAACAGGCAGACATCACAAACCGATTTTCATTTCAGAAGTTGGGTGGTGCCAGGTGGTACCCTCATTCAGTTTTGACCTAGAAGATGTTTTGTAAAGCTTAGTTATGTCTCCTCTGGAACTGCATAAGTTGGCTCCTACAGTTGCCTCTAAACTCTAATGGTGATTATTTCCTTTTCACAGTGCTCCAGCTGAGGCTGCAACAAAGAAGGACAAGAGAACAACTAGTGGACCAGGGCATCATGCCACGTAAGGTTTAAGTGTGATGTAACAATATGGACATGTACCGAGAAGAACCTGTATCACACTCTACTTTCAGTCGGAGCCATTTAATCAATATTCAATACCAAAAGAGTTTATAAGGAAAAACACGGCTTCATTTAAAACACATTTGAAAACCACATGCTGCTTAAAAGATTGACTTGCATTTATATCACACGAAGAACACCTTTAAAACTGTAATTCAGCTAACATCAGTTCTTACTTCAAACTGCAACATTTGTTTTATTTTAAAATAATTGAAGTAATCGCTCTACACAGTGGATCCAATATTACTTAGACTTGCAGAAGTAACATGATAAAAATCATTCAAAATTTTGTTCTACTTTATTTTTCTTTTTTTTTTCCTACTCTATTTTTCAAAGTGATGGTCTTTAATGCTATACTATCAGCTATAATATTAAATGTACCTAAGTTACAGGACTAATAAACGTTATTTGTAATTAATAAAATCATTCTTGCCCAAATACAGATTTTTCTCCAATTATCTCTAAGCTTGAGTCCTTCATTTTTGGAAGTTGATTAATTTTAGAATATTTGTCCATGTTGTCTTCTTTACCTTTAATCACCAAGTTTGGAAAATGGTTTTATGTTTTATGGGGGAAGAATGGTGGTTTTTGGTAGGCCATTATTATTATTTATTTGAATTTTTGTCTAAAAATTGATTTCTCTAAGAGGTAACTTACTTGGCTTTAAAAAACTAGGAAGGAATTGCAAAATACATTTATGCTTCCCAGTATTCTGAATCACTAATCCTAACTTTTTTTTTGCTTAATGATAAGGAATAGTTTTTCTCTGCAATAGATTTTTCCAATGAAACTTTTATTTCTGGACTCCTATTACTGGAGTATCTAAATATTTTAAAGCTAGCATTGTGACAGAGTCAAAGCTGGTTTGATAATCTGCCAGAGTTCTCCACCACTGCATTCTTGCCTATGAACAGGATTGATCAAATAGGATGAAATTATGATGTTTAACACCATTGCTAAGCCAGCTGTAGTCTGCTTTTGGAAGCTGGTCCCTAGCCAAACCTGCTTGGGCTGGCCTGCTGGGAGTCTTTGTAATGCTTCAAGTACCAGAGCTGACAATAATAATGCTACGAAGACATGACTGGTCACATTTGGGAAATGACGGCCCAAGTAGTCTTATATCCCATCCACGTCATCTGCCCGCCCAATGTCATAATTGCAGGATGTTATCAGACAATGGTGGATATACACAAGATTTTGCAAAAATAAGTGATAGAAATACTGTAGTAGGTGATGTTTTAGTAAACATCACTGACCCTCACTCTGGGATTCTGGAATAGTTAACGTACCAGCAGTTAAGGTATTACAGAATCACTGTCTTTAGAGTGATTCGCGTATGGTTTGGCAGAAAGAGCATGAACCCTTCAAATTCAGAATTCTAGATTCAAATCCCACTTTGACCCTCATCTAGCTATAAGACTTCAAGACTTCATTTAACCCCTTGAGCCTTTCATCTGCACTGAGGCGAATGCCTGCCATGCTCGGTCCTTGTGATGATCAACAGATTTAACTCTGACCACCACAGAGCACAGGGCTAAGCCCATCGTGGTTCTCAGTAAATGGTAACGTGGGTTCGTGAGGCATGGAGTACATTGTGGGATGCAGAGTGTCCTCATGGTCAAGGTTAGGGCACTCGAGGTTAAATGTCCTGAGGACATTTAGGCCTTTCCCATACAGAGCAAAGACCTGCGAAGGAATGGTCTAACAGTTCCCTTGAGAGTGGTAATTTGCTCCAACTATTATTGGTTGGAACTAGTCGGACCTGATATTTACATTGTCATTATTTTTACAGCTCTGTTTTAAATGTTCACCGTTTTATTTGTGAAATTCATAATTTCAATTCTGAAACACTTAAGGTTCCAAATTCTATAGATCTAAAAGAACTAGTAAATAAATGGAACTGTAGATGCGAACTATAAGATTAAGAAGGAGCATCAACAAGATACACTGTAACGTTTGCCTGAAGCATTAACTTCTCTGTTTTTACCATGGGAATGATTTCTTTTCCTCTCACAGCTTTGAAGAGCCCAGCCGCATTCCATGAGCAGATAAAAAGCTTGGAACGAGCCAGAGTAAGAAATCTCAGTTTAAAATGCTCTACTTCTCTCTTTTATTTTAAAGTACCTGTGGACAAATAGCAGTCTTACTCCTAGATATGCCAGGAGAGAAAATACAGTGCCTTTTCAGGACACATGGCACATAGAGTAATGTATTCTGGAGCAGTTTTATCTTGGAGGTTTGTAGGATATAAGTGACATTCAAATTTTGTTCTTCTAAAACTAGTAACTCGCTTTGTACAAAGGACAAATCACACTTTTCACTTTCTTGCTTTCAGAGCATAACCACAGTTCCTAGAATAATAACAGAGTAATTCTGCCCTTTGTTACCCTGGGAGACCGCAGCCCCAGTGAGGTGCTGACACCAGATCCTTGGGTCTGTGTTACCTGTGCATTTGACCATGTGGGTGAATAAGGAATATTGCTGCGTTCAACTCTGCTTTATTCTTTGAATTGACTCTATCATAGCTGCACAGCAAATTGATGTTTATTCTTTTTCTTTAAAAAGTACCATTTATTCTTTTTGTTTTAGGGAAAACTTCTATCACATGTTATGAAAAGCATGTTCCGAAAATTCCATAAGAATGTTCCCAGGATATAATGATGATCTCTTAGAGTCTTGTAAAATGTAAAACTCATTTTCAAGTCTTATTGTTTGGAGTTGAGTACAGTTCTGAATAAGAAAATATGATCAAGGATATGAACTCATCAAAGACAGTACATGATAATTTTTAGGAAATCTGTTATCTAGGTGAATTTTTACTTGACCCGATGTCTAGATTTTATGGATTTTAGATACTTAAATGTTCAAAATCCTATGTCTATTCAAAACTCAGCTTCAAAATTATGAGCCTTTGCCTTTCTGAAGTTTTAAAATAAAAGCCTACAAAGTGCTTGCTTTGTACCAGTATGGACGTCAAAGCCCTGTACAGTTTTGAAGGCTGGAATTTAAATCATGTATTGGATAATAGTCTCTCAAAGTACTAATTTCTATTCTTTTCTTCCTCTCAAAATCATGACCAAAAGGGTATCAATTTATTTAAATGGAGTACCTTGAGAGAAAAAAATATAAAACCACAGTAAGTCATCAACAATTTATGGTAAGACTTTTTTTTTTTTTTTTTTTAAAGACTGAAAACTTTTTGAAGCACAAGATCCGGAGCCGACCGGACCGCTCTGAGCTTGTCAGGATGCACATTCTAGAAGGTGAAGGTTTTACTTCTACGTATTTTGCTGCGTTTTTCTCAAGAGAAGAAGTGAGAATGTCACCATTTCTGTTTATTCCCATTTTAATAACTTTTTACCCCACAGGCTGACATCCTCCACATTGGATAGCAACGTGAAGACGCAGTTAAATATTATGTTAGATACGTGGGGAAGGTTTGCTTCTCCAAATAACCAGCTGACGACTGGCTCTTCCCCTCCAGCTGGTGCCGTAGGTGTCTCTCCCATACTGTTCTGGAAAAACAGCTTTGGTCCAGAGGACTCCTCCACTAGTGAGGGAACCTGTGCCCACTCCTTAAGTCATAAAGGGTGTGACAACCACAAGTCTAACCCTAGATTTCAAGGTGCTTGGGCCCTGTTATGCCTACCTGGCATGGTGCCCACACACAGCATTTTTCCTTTGTTGCTACTTACACACAACAGTCCAACTCGATCTGACCATTACCAGAACCACCACCCTCTAGGCCCACCGGATTTTCTCAATGAGCTAGCCTCATCACCTGTGAAGCGTGGAGGGACAGCTCTGTTCCATTTTTGGTGAGACACAAGGCTCAGGCCAGTATGTTTTTCTTTCTAAAAAAAAAAAAAACATTCTTGAAAGCTGGTTTCTCCACCATTATTCCCTGAGTTACATTTTCTTGCATTGTTCTGCTTCTCTGACCAATTTATTGGGCAAGACAAAAACTTGACCCTGTGATAGTCCTGAGTGTGTCAAACCTTGAGAACATACAGAAGAGTCTGAAAATGCCTCACACATTTAGAGACAGTTATCAGGTAGAAAGAAGATTAGAATTGTTCCCTCTGGCCTAATGATAGAGTTAGTATTAGAATTGTGTTGGCATTATGAAGTATTAAATTGTAGCTCAATGAAAGGAACAATATCCTAAAGACCAGACATGTCCAAAAATAAAATATTTTGGAAGCAATATGGTCACTCTTATCAGAGGTGTTCATTCATTGGCCAGTGTCTGCACCAGAAGCCCAGGTGAGCCAGACGGATGCCTGCCTTCGTGAAGCTTACAGATAATAAACGGGCAAAAGAAATGGCTTCCAGATTGTGAGAGGTGTAAACAGGCTGACAGCACCTGAAGGGTGCTGTAAAGACGTTCCGAGCATCAGGCTTGTCTGTAACTCGAAGTGAGGCCTCTTCCAATACAGAGACTCTGTGATGATGTGACCATCCTCACATCTGGGGCAGGAGGTGAGAAGTTTACGGCTTTCTCTAATTTGGGTTATGTCCTCAGAAGTTCACTGGACTGAAAAAGCTTTTCCAGAACTCCAGTGGTAGGGTAGGAGCAGCTGCCAGCTGTGAGGGATAAGTGGATCTTCAAAGAAACAGATTTACTGGTAAGTAACTAGGTAAATGGCTCCTTCTATGCCTGAAAATATCTTGACCTGTAAGGGACAGTTTTGTAGGAATAATGCTGTCTGTTTTCACTTGCCTTCTAATTATAACAGGCTTTATTAATGTGATTAAAACTAAGGCAAATACACTTAACTATCAAAAGGAATCATACTTTTTTTTTTAAAGAAGGCTACCCAAGGTTTAAAAACCTAACTGTGTATGTGAATGAACTGTAAGTGATGTTTTGAGGACATCCATTCTCAAGCTGGGATTATTGAAGGAAGAATGTATCACGTTTGAGTTTTTAAATATCTTAGAACCATTTTAACTTACTTTAACTTATTTTAACATTAATCCAATTTTGATCAGACTGGTTGTTTGGGAGGCAGAAGTATAAATTATTTTCTGAAGTTCAGCTGCTGAAATCCAGCCTCAGCCTCATGGAGATGAGGAAGCAATAAAAGAACAAACAGAAACATAGCAAAATGCCAGCCTCTGGCTATTTACTTTTGGAGTATTTTCCTTCTAAACATTCCTGATATCACTGGATGGTGTCAGTGAGAGAGAGCAGAAAGGCAGAAGACTCTCCCAGCGAGATCTTAACAGAAGCGTTAAGTATCAGCCTACGAGTGGTTTGCGTGATCTAACTCTCCCCGCCTGTCATCTTCCTGTGTGCTTAGAAGTGTTTTGTCTAACAAGGCTGAGGCCACCGTTATGTAGGAAAATTATAAAAATGAGATGACCAAACATGTTATTTTAACATATCGAAATGTGTATTTATCTGCCAAAGTTCTGACCAAGGGCTAGGGCCTTTGCTTTGGGAAAGGCTTCAAAGAATGGAGCTCACATCTTCTTTGCATAAAGCAGTATTTGTACATCATCTGCAATTTCCATTTAGTGGAACAAAACTTAAAGACACTTGAAAAGCAATCTGACTTTAAAAATCCTAGATTTTCCCAAATCTTTTAGTTGTTAGTAGCCTTAATTTGACAGTGATTGATTTTTTTTTAATGACTCATCTTTATCAAGTTGTTTGAAAGTATTTAACTTAGGTTTCCAAGAAATAATAATTGTATTTTTGAAGTTTATCATTTTCCCATAACATTTAGTTAATTACGCATTGACAGGAGCAATCCCAGCAGGTATGAACTATTTTGCAGGCAGTCAAGGTTGGCTTTGGCAAACGTGTGACTCAGCTGGTAGAGAGAAGTACCCTATGCTGGCCCTTGAACTGTGCGGATCCACTTATATGAGCTCTTTTTCAATAAATACTATAAATGTATTTTCTCTTCCTCATGTTTTTCTTAATAGCATTTTTCTTTTCAGTAGCTTACTTTATTGTAAGAATACAGTATGTGACACATAGGCATAAACTATGCGTGACTCAAGTGTGTTATCAGCAGGGCTTCCGGTCAGCAGTAAGCTGTTAGTGGTTAAGTTTAGGGGAAATCAAAGCTTATAGGTGGATTTTCAACTATGTGGGGGGTTGGCACCCCTAACCCCCAGGTTGTTTGAAGGTCACCTGTACTCAGATGTGCTGGTGAGTAGTTTACTGGCCATGGCTTTCAGTGAGCCTTAGGCTTCAGTCAGGACATTTTACCTGCAAAATGAAGAACATCAGTTAATCCTGAGAATACTTGTGGGGAATTTCATTAGAAGACTTACTGTATAATTTAAGAAGCAAGCAACTTTCAGAATTTTGGGTTAACACCTCATCATCATTAAATCAATTATAAACATTATTTAGAACAGTCTAATGAAGTTAATGAGTTACCATAAACACAAATAATTGACAGAATTATGCAAATGAGCAAGTTACATTTATAGCAGTTTCACATCTGTTGTACAACTTTGTGCATTTGTAAGCAGATGAGTCGATGCTTCTGTGTGACTGTTAATTACTGTGTACGGCGAGTGAATATTCTTATCAGACACAAGGTTACATATTCAGAAATAAACCCAAATTCTTAATTATGGTGTTGGAGTCTGTTACAATATGATTTGTAGGTCTTCCCAGTGACTCCTGCAGAGAAGCTTATATCCTAAGATACGAGCCTCCCCTCGTAGGATCTGACTTTTTAATGTAGCCAGATCTAAAACAGATCTTGAGCCATAGACCACGTCTGTCTTGTGCATCCTCTGTGTCTCCAGTACCTAATAATTGTGAATATGACCCTCCTGTCATAAATGAACAGTTGCAGTACCCCATTTTTCACTTGAATTCATGTTCATTTGAGTCAGAGGGCATGCATATTGACAATATAGACAATATAAAGCTACCCAGAACTAAAAATATAAACTGTATACTGGAGCATGCTTTAACAGTCATTTTTCTCTTGCCATAAATATCTTGAGAACACACAAATATGCTTAAACCGATTTAAATTAGTTGGCCTGAAATAGCATTATGGAATAGAGATGGGAATTCAAGTGATGGTTAGAACTGTGTTTCTTCTTTCAGAAACATTTGCAGAGCCATCCCTGCAGGCCACTCAGATGAAGCTGAAAAGAGCTCGCCTGGCGGACGATCTGAACGAGAAGATCGCACAGCGCCCCGGCCCCATGGAGCTGGTGGAGAAGAACATCCTGCCTGTGGACTCCAGTGTTAAGGAAGCGATTATAGGCAAGCCTCTCAAGTTCACCATGTTCTGGGAAGTTTTAGATCAAAACAAATGTAGTTAAAAAGGCCAGCACCAATCATGGGTATGGCTTTCCGGGTGAGTTAGAAATTAAATTGGTGCCGATTCCCATTATTACTGAGATATATCTATATATCTCTATCTCTATCTATCTATCTATATATATATATGTATATACATATACATACACATATACACACACACGCGCACGCACAAGTCTCTCGGTACCCACGGAGGCTTAGTTCCAGGACCCCCTAGAGATACCAAACTGGAGGACACCCAAGTCCCAAGTCTCGCGTTTAAAATGGCGTAGTATTTGCATGTGACCTACGCACATCTTCCTGTGTACCTTAAGTCTTCTCTAGAGTACTTATAACACTTATGTAAACATTTGTTACACTGTGTTGTTTAGGGATTAATGACAAGAAAAAATGTCTATACTTGTCCAGTACAGATGCAACCTAACTAGGTAGTATGTGTCAGCAGCAACATAACTTTTATCAAATATTTTCGATCTGGGAGCATTTGAATCTGAGGGTGCAGAACCCGTATATGCAGAGGGCCGGCTGTGTATTATGTGTTGTGAGACCAGCATCACTAACCCGTTAACACAGATTCTTAACATCTGAGGTTTCGATCTTTAAGTTCTGATTTCATGATCATGTTTTCTAAGTTAAACTTACTGTATTATACTGTTTAGTTTCTGTTGTTTTGTTTAAAATTCTTACAGGCTTTTCATTATTTTCATTCTGTGTACTTCCAGGAAAGATAAAGAGAAAAATAGCTTGTTCATTGCCAGTTCGGCAAGGTGAAGAGCAGACGAGTGTGGACGCACTCATTAAGAAGAGCAGCATCTGTCCGTTCTGTGTCGCTCTCATCATCTCAGTTACTAAAGTCCACCCCGCCTCCCGCCCCATTTCTTTTGGTGTGGCCTTAGCAGGAAAAAAAATTCCAGAACAATGCCACTTATTCAGCCAGCAATTTTTAAAAGTTAATATCCTATTTAAACTATGGTAGTTTCATCACTCATGGGGACTTTTTATTTTGCATGAGCACGAGTTTCAGTCTTAGGCAACGTCAGTAATTCTGAGTGGTGCAGTCACCTGTGATCCACTCAGCCCCCAGAAGTAAGGCGTCGGTGTATCTGGCCACCCCACGAGGTGGGACTAAGCAGGATTCCCCGTCGAAGCCCCATTTCCCAGTACCTCAATGTGTTTGTACCAGCTGGATTTCAAATCGGGATCCAGACAAGGTCCACACATCACCTTTGGCTTGATGGACCTCTTCCGTCTTATTCTTTCGGTGGCTCTCCCTCCTTTCTTTTCTCACTATTTATTTGTTGGTAAATGGACGTGTTTTGTTCTTTAGCATTTCCACATCCTGGATTTTATGTTCTTGTCTCCTGTACTTCCTGTAGCTGGTAGTTGGGTCCAGAGGCTTGATCTGACTTGGGTTTGATTTCTTTTCTCCAAGTGCTCATCGTGGGGAGTGGTGTGCTCTTCCCTTGGGTAGTACGTGATGGTTTTTTTTTTTTTTAAACAGGTTAAGTTTTTATTAAAAAAACAATGTTTCTCTTCCTTTTTCATTTTAAGCCTGGTATTCCAAGGCCAAGATAAATTAAGAATCATTTCTTTCTTTAGGTGTTGGGAAAGAAGACTATCCACAGACTCAGGGCGATTTCTCATTTGATGAAGACAGCAGTGATGCTTTATCTCCAGACCAGCCTGCCAGCCAGGAGTCGCAAGGGTCAGCCGCGTCCCCCAGTGAGCCCAAAATCAGTGAGTCGCCGTCTCCTGTGACCACGAACACTCCAGCCCAGGTATCGCCTTCCTTGTGTTTACCCCTAAATAGAGAAAGTGCCTTGTTTTTTACATATCAAGTATATATCTTTATTTTATGTATCGATACATTCTCACTAGAAAAGTTTGAAAATGCGGGAAAATAAAAGTTTTTCATCTGTAATCTAGCCACCATTAACATTTTTCAGTAGATTCTTACATTTTATTTCTGTTCTGTATACACATTTTTATCTTACAGTTTTGCAATACACTTTTTAAATTTTTCACATAATTTTTGGGGGACATAATTCACATACCATAAAATCCAGCTTTTTTTTAATCTTTATCATTTTAAACTGTACGGTTCAGTAGTGTTAAGCATACTCACACTGTTGTGCAACAATCTCCAGAACTTTCGTCTTGCAAAATTGAAACTATACCCACTGAACAGCTCCTAGCTCCCTCTTTACCCAGGCGCTGGCAACCATTGTATTTGTCTCTGTGAATTTGACCACTTTAGGTATCTCATGTAAGTGGGCTCACAGTATTTGTTGTTTATGACTGTCTTATTTCACTTAGCATTATGTCCTCAAAGTTCGTTCATGTTGTAGCATGTGGCAGTAGCTCCTTTATTTTGAAGGCTGAATCATGCTGTTGTCTGGATATACCACATTTTGTTTACCCACTTGTCAGAGACATTGGGTTTCTTCCATCTCTTGGCTGTTGTGGGTAACGGTGCTGTGTACATGGGTGTGGAAATATCTCTTTGAGACTGTGCTTTCAGTTTTTTGGAGCACGTACCAAAAGTGGGGGTGATGAGTCATGCAGTCATTCTATTTTTAATTCGTTGAGGAGCCTCCGTACTGGTCCCCATAGTGGTTGTGCCATTTCATGCTCCCATCAGTGCACAAGGGTCCCAGTTTCTCCACATCCTTGCTGACACTTGTTAGTTTATGTTCTTTTGATAGTAGACATTCCATGGTGTGAGGTCATATCTAACTGCGGTTTCAGTTTTCACTTCTCTGATGGTTAGTGATGTTGAGTACCCTCTCATGTGCTTGTTGGACATTTGTATATTATCTTTGGAGAAATGTCTATTCAAGTCCTTTGCCCATTTAAAAAAAAATCAGGTTATTTGTTTTTTTGTTGTTGAGTTGTAATTCTTCATATATTCTGGATATTAACCTCTTATCAAACGTATGATTCGCAGATATTTTCTCCCATTCCATGTGTCACCTTTTCACTCTATTGACAGTGTCCTTTAATGCACAGAAATTTTTAGTTTGGTATAGTCCCTTGTCAATAAATATATATTTGTATCATTTTAATTGCTACATCATATTCAGTTGAACTTAGATAATGTATCTATTTTAATCAGTTCCCTATTGTTGGTTATATGGAGTCGTTTCCTGTATTTCACTCTTCTGACACGCAATAATAAGAGCCTTGATTGTATTCTCACGTATTTGCTACACCCTGGTTTTTGTTAGACACTAGTCTCGTTATTTCTTTGGATAGTTACCAGATATCAGAATGGACTTGGACCTTTGGTAGGCAAAAGACAAGCACTTTAACCACCTTCGGGAGGGTAATACAGATTTCCACAGTCACTGCCTTTGCCACAAGTCAGTAATGTCACTACTTTAAACCCTGCAGATTCGAATGTTTTAATTGCCTCCTTGATTTTGGTTAGATTGAATTCATTTGTTCAACAGATATTTAATGAGCACCTATTATGTGTCAGATTGTATTGGGAATAGTCTAGTGCATGCAAAGGAATCTAATAAATATTTTTGGAAATTCAAATGTCTTCGTTTTCCATAGGCGTTTGTGTTTCTTTTGGTTTTATAAAAACTCTTATGCTGCACATAATTTGCTGTTTTTTTAATCTCTCCTTATGGTGTTCTGGACTTGCTGAAATTTTAATTGGATTTTGTTATTTTGAAGTCAAAACTATTGAACTACTTAATGAGATTGGTCAAGTTCAGTAGAAAATACTCTTGTAAAAGCTGGGTATCATCGAATTCTGAGTTGGAAAGCAGTTTAGCATTTACTTGCCTGAACCCTCACACCAGGGGAGGCCTGGGTTCAGAGAGGTGCGGAACTAAAAGTGTGTGTGTGTGTTTTCTCACAGCATTTCTTTCCATTCAGGAATGTCAATTTGTTAGTGACTGGGTCCGTCGGCTTCATTTTCTTCCTTGCACTTATCACCCGTGATCTGAAATACAGTAGCTTCTTTATTGTGTCTGTGCCTTATGAGCCTATGAGGACAGTGGCTTTGACTCAGACAAGACCTAGGTAGTGTGTAGTGTGCGTGCACGCGTGTGTCCTGCACACCTAGTGCAGGGCCTGGTACAGAGGATGGGCTCGGTCGGCGCTGGCTGGAAGCCAGTAGCATGAGTGCGAGGACCGTGCTGCCATACTGTGCGCTCCTACCTGCAGGCAGAGCCCTCCCGCCCCGGAGTCCAAGGGCAGCTGCAGTTCATGTTCTCTTGGTGCAGTTTGTGGGGCGAGAGTGACCACCCCCTCGGCTTCGCTGGAACCTGGCCTGGAAGAAGGACAAGGGTCAGTGACCAGCCCACGCACGGTCTGAAAGGGAGAGCAAGGGAGACCAGCCCCTACTGTGTTCTCACGTGTTTGCTGCGCCCTGGTTTTGAGCTTTAAAAATAGGGCTAAAAAGAATGTCAAGTATGCAAGTAAATACCCTTAAAAAACAGTTCTTCTCATCCGTGTGGGTTGGTTATTCTCTGCTTCTGTCCGAATAGGTCAGGATATCAGACCGCTGTTAGCATGGCCTTAGCTTTTAGTGACAAAATTTCTGTCACCATCTACCTGGTAATGGCTTCGTGACAATTCCGCCTGTGTAAGAGATGGGCCTTCTCCTTTTCCTAGCATTGCTTGTACTGTTAGGTGTTTCTTTGGTCTTGAAACTTGGTCTCCAGCTAAGTTCGTAAGTGAGAAAGTTTAACCAGAGGCAGTCCCACCCAGGGGGCTGGCATTCCAGGGTTCCTTGAAGGAAAAGAGGCACAGCAGTGTTTCTTGAAGAATAAATATGGTCTGTTTATTGTCGGTGCAGTGCACACTTGAGCCTCGGGTCATCCCCACTGCAGTGCCCGGTTCACGACCCCAGAGGTGCCCGCATGTGCAGACCGGTACTGCCCGCTGTCCCCTGCGGGCCAGGCGTTGCAGTGGTCCCTCCCACCGCGCCCCACCGCCCTTCGGGGAAGAGAACCCAGGACACACAGGGCTCGCCACAGCCTCACCTGTCACTCCGCTTCTGCACCACACACCTGAGCTTTCTTAATTGTGTCCTTCGGTAAACTCCCTTGTATTACGTTTTAGTGTTTGTAAGTAAGGAATCTGACAAACACTCTTTATTATTATACTTTTATTCATGCAATTAAAGAAGCATCTCCCTGTTAACTGTGTTGTATTGATGTCGAAGAAAGGTACTCCTCCACGCAGGATTGTGAGGATGTTGTCAGTTTGTTGTCGGTTTCATTTAAGTCAACTACAGAGGCAAACGTTATGACGCCTGTAAGGTCTGAGATTTTTACGTCATCTAGAAGTGATAATTAGGTTTTGTTTTGGCAAATGTTGCACTTTAGTTATTTTCACTGTTATCCAGTATTTATAGAATTTGTCCAAGAATCTCACTTGATACAAAAAATGTATATTTTCTCCCTAAATATAATTACTTTCACAATTGTCATTTAAGGGGAAAGTACCTAAAACATTGCTTCTCATTAGACATCAGCTTCCAGAGGGCAGGACATCCCCTCATTTTATCTTAATAACTTCATACTGAACTCACAGGGTCCAAGCACAGCAAGTGCTTGTTGCTTTAATGAATAAAAATCCCTGGGAGATTCTCTCTGCGATATACTGTTGCTTGCTTTAGATATCATTGTACCTCCTTCCCGCGCGCGCCCCCCCCGCAAAAAAAAAGTCAGTCTCATCACTGTTATTATAATAGTTCTTAGAAAGCAAAGGCAATGAAAGGGCAGCATACACGTCTTGTTTGTAGGGTGTTCTCTGAGATTCTCAGGTTTTAATCTTTAACATGGAAACTCAATGTAAGAGTTCGATAGTGAGTTTATTTACCAGGGACCATTAGTCCTCACATCGCCTGTAAGGAAGGGACTGGTGAGTGTGTATTTTTAGTTTGTTTAATTTCCAATGCATTGTGGACTGATCCTCTTGTAAAATACAGTAAAAATAGTGGAGTGACATCAAATTTCTGTAATATTTCCTGTACTTGTCACAGGCAGGTAACAAAGGTCCACTGACCATACTTTGACCATACTTTGAGCCATGCCGAAAACCTTAACCAAGTTTTTTTCGTATGTTAAGTATCATTTCATACTGCATGTTTAATCCTATGGCTTAAATACATTTTTTCTAATTTTCCTGTTAAATTTTTTTAATGCTTGGCCTAATAAAAGTTCAAGGCCAGTGTACAGAATTTCTTTTAGTTTCTTTAAAAATCATATTTTCAGATAAATAGTCGAGAGAAAATTAGGCTCAAAATTTCTTAATGCTCTGCTTTATTCCAAAATGTCTTAGGACATAGAGTCACCTTAATTCTTTTCAGAACACACAAATACCAGAGGATTAAGTCCCACAGGAAATTATTCAAATAAAAGAAACATTCCTTACCAAAAAAGTAACATAATATCTAGGTAAAGAACGGAGTTTTCTAAGCACTTGTCTTGCAATCCCAGTGCTAGAATGCTAATGATCTTGTGACGTGGACAGTACAACGCACCACCATGTCCTTCCTTCCGAACGTGACTTCTAAGGGTGAAAAGTTCTTTGAAATATATATTTCTGTGTGGCCTTTTCCTTGGACCTTTCTCTTGTCTTTTCATTTCTGATCCAAGTATAGCTGGAAAGGAATTTGCCATAATGTTAATGAAACACGCATCACATATTGGGGCTCAGCTTATTTTTTGCTCAGCTTATTTTATGCTTGAACAATGGAAAGTGCAGAAAATTAAGAAGAGCCCCATGTAGTACCAAGGGTGTTACGAGGGCTCTT